GGATCCAAATGCAAAATGGCAGCCTGAAAATCTCGGGCACGCGCAGAAAGCAAAATTTCGAGATAGTTTTTGGGTTGAAAAGTAATGCCCCACTTACGACTTTTACTTTTCTCTCTTTCTCCTGCCCTTTTTTTCCCCTCTCCTTGCCTGAAGTTTCTCCTCACTTGCTGGAAATTTAGTAGGCTTCATTTTGGTGTAGAGATTTTTTAGGAAACTACTCATTATTTTCAAACCACATGCTCAGAAAGGTAGGTGGGTAATGGAACAAGATTTTCGTGCAGATTTTCAGGTCAAAGTTACATGGTTTTTTGGCTATTTCTCCAATCTCCTTCACTCAATTGCGCTCATTCTGGTATCGTTTGTAAGATATTTTCAACCTGTTCAAGTACGTGCTCAAAGTCGTGCTCCAGGGTTAAAAGTGATGATGTCACAAGGCGTAGAAAGGGTGTGGGTCCACATGGGCGCATACGGGCGCACTGGACGTCAATAGGTTAAATTGGGTTTTAAGTTTATTTGTTTCTTATGCTACTACCAAAGTAAGAGTGATTACACTTCTTAAAAGAAGTGTGTTGAGTTATTTTAAGTATTGAGGAAGTAGAATAACAAGTAAGAATGACAGATATAACATAAGGCACAAGGATTGCCCGAAAATTTGCTTGACAGACAGTATTAGCTCCAATAAATAAAATGACAATAACGGTGGCAAATAAAAGTAAAGTAAAACTTTGTTTAGCCAGGGTGACCCATTCAGCATCATTGGCTGGTATCCAGAGGGGCCCTAGCAAGAGGTTTTCAACCAATGAAAGAATGAAGACCAGAACCAGTCTGAGTCCAACATTTTACTCTGTGCACCCAGTTGTAAAGCATTCTACTTATTGCCATTGTGGTACACTGATCTCATGTTGGTCTTGAATTTGAAGTTTTTGAGATAATTGACATGTGGACCATAAAACATTAATAATCATGAAAGAAGTTACACTGATACAAGGTTAAGTTCTTCTTACATTGCTATATGAAGGCTATTTATTTTGATTCCTAGGAAGACTTGTTATCATGTGAGATGATATGGATGAATAACTGGGTGGCAATCAAATTTCACTTCAAGTTGTCTAAACAATTGGTTGTAGGAAGTAATTCATAATAACTCCTTCTGTATCACCTTCACATTCATACCTGCTTGCAGGTACTTTTAAAACTGGGTAGAAAAAGGTGAACCAAGGCCCTTGCCTTGGTAAGAAGTTTGAATTTCTGAAGTTATGTGTGGTTCCTGTTAAATTAAGAAATGCTCTTGTATGAATAAAAAAAGTAAACATGAACGTTTTTTCCCTGATATTGCTTCTAGGAAAAATAATCCCCATAACACAAATCAACAGGCTTAGTGAAATGATTTTATTATGCAACTGAAAGTTAAAACACAACAATACAACCAAACTTACAGTGATTACGAGCTGCAAGGAAACCTGAGGCTGTAAAAACTGACAACATTTCCTTTCTTGGCCCTTGGACTACAAGGGCCTATAATTTCCTATTATTGCCTGTTTTTAACCAGCTAGACTTAGTAATAATAATTTCAACTACACAACTTATTTGATCATTTCATTTTAACAATAATAAACATTTACATGGTTCATTTTGAAGTTCTGGTTAAGTGTTTGAATCAAAAGAACCTTTATGAGCATAGAAATTCACTTGCTGGAAGTCAGAATTCAGTGCAACATAATTTTTGTCATTCCTTTCAGAAATCCTAATAATCTTAACAAAGAGAAGTTTCTCTTTAAAGTCCTTATTATATTTCCCATGCAGATCAATCAAAATTCAGCTGTATGTATTTTTAGCCCTACTTAAGTTTATGTTATAGACTACAGCCATCTTGAGTGAGATATTACATGGAATGATAAAAGGGGCTAGTATTCCCTTCTCTCAAACTTAGTGGAGAACTTCTTGGGTTACTTGAATCTGTGGACAAAGAGGGGGTAGGTGCTATGGGGGGTACCAATACTGGTTGAAATGACCTGTGGTTTCCTTCCCACAAGGTGTAATTAGATGGTACAAAATTTGAGGCAGGCGGAGAAAGACCTTGGTTGATGCCACTTGGGGAAACATAATCCCCACAATGGTGACTAGCCCCATACTGTGTCTGTGGGCTAGGGCTGGAATGTGTTAAAAGCAACCGGAAAAGTTTGAACTCATGCTCTTTAGATTTCTCAATATCTGATTTTAAGAATTCAATGAGCTCTTTCGTGGGGTCATTTTTAATTGCACTCCTCATTAAGTGAATGGCTTCAAGCAATGGGTCTTCTTTTTTCGGTTTCTTGGTTGGAGCTGATTTCACAGACACAAACTGCTTACCAGCACAGTCTTGGGAAGCTCCACTATATCCCTCATTTTCTGTTGAGTGATTTAAATCCTCTCTTGATGCTGATGGATCTAACGCCAGTTCTGGTCTGCACGAGTCACCTGTTTTAACCACTTCAAACAACTGATTGAACCTGTAACCCTTGTCATCCTGGAATCGTTTCACTCCAGTGGAAGTTTTGGTGGTCAAAGCTACACGCTTACATTCTGCAACATCCTTTTTAAATTTTGATCTAAGTTGTGATACAGTAAAGGAGAAATTTTCATTCCTAGATTTGCATCTCTTCTTAAGTTCAGCAAGTACCTCAGCATAGACCTGTCCATTTTTCTGAGTTTAACATTGGTGAATATAAGTTTTCTCTTGTAATAATCACTGCTTATTAGGATATCTATAGTATCATCTAACAGGGACTGGGACCATTTTGCTTTTCTGCCTGCTTTCTTTGCCTTTTTGTCCACTTTCTCAGAAACAGAGTCCACCCCATCTTCATCGTCATCCCAATTTTAATCATCTTCACCATCACTCTCATAGGACATATCTTCTATCTCCTGATGAGCAGAACTATGTGACCAAGAAACCAAAATTATTATTAAATCATAAGCAATAGTAACTGTCATTTTTGGCCTCATCAAACAGGTATCTTTCTCTCAACAATGTAACAAACCCAAGGTTCATACAAACATCAATTTAAGCAAATTATTTCAACAGCACTAATGGTCAAAACACTACTCACCAACCCATGGCCTTACGTTTCTCTTCTTCATTGTTGTTTATTTCTTTCGTCGTCCATAGCTTGTTGTCTCTCCTCGTCCACAGCTTGTTGTCTCCTCTCGTTTGCTGCTAGTTGTCTCTCCTAGGCCGCTGCTTGACATCTTTTCAGGTCCGCTGTTTGTTGTCTTTGTATGCATATGGGCTCCTTCTTCATTCTCACAAGCGAAGCAAAAACCCACGGACTTTCCGGCTACCCAGCCTGGGGTTTCCTCATTGTCTTTAAAAAATTGAACAATGGCAACGGACAGGGAGCGCACACTTTATGCAAGAATATTTAGTCGTGGCAAACAGGAATAACACATGTTGTTGTCTGGAACAACTGTTTTCTGCCACAACTGTTTTCTGCCACAACTGTTTTCTGCCACAACTGTTTTCTGCCAACGCGCCATTTTTTCCCACTCGGATGTGCATGCTTAAAGCGATAGAAGGGGATTGTGGGATGGAAAAATGTATTATAATAATTTAAGCATTAGGTATGGTACATAATGTTTGAATTGGAGTTGCTCCGTAGTCGAACTGACCGACTGGCCATGTCGAACTTAATTCTCGGGTCGACCCAAATAACATCTGTTGAACTTGATTGATTGAAACGTTGATCTCGTCATGTACTTAACTGGGGCTATTAGGTTTGGCTCATGAAGAGTTCGATGTTTGAACCGGGCCTTAGCTACAAAAAAAAAAAAAACATAACTAACTATATAGCAAGATCTGGGACAATATTCATCAATATTGTGATGGAACAATATTTATGGCTTAGTGAGAAAAACCATTGAGAAACTGACCAAGATTTTTGTTGAATCAAATGCTAATGAGACATCAATTTTGTTTGTGATGGATGAGTGACATTGACTATTAAAGGAATAAGATAGATTACTTCTGTCATTGAGAAATGAAGATTATAATTGTTTCTCCCTATGAATTTAGGGAAGATTAAATAAATAGATTAATGCTTAAAAATTATCCTTTCTCTTGCCCTCTGATATTTCCTGTTGTAAATAAGGGTCCTTTTGGCTCAAGTTTCCTGGTGATCATCCTCAACATTCCAGCGACTGAGATCTCTGGCAATTTGGATTCTGTAAGGAACAGATAGCAATACATTCTCAAGTGACTTCCCTAATCACCTCATCCTAAACTTGATCTGGAGGCTTTTTTTGTTGGACCTCTGCTTTTTCACACTTCTTTTCATGTGCCTGGCAGAGCTATGGTGTCTGATCCCCTCAATTTTCACTGGAATTGAAACACATGGAAATAAATAATTGCAATTTTGTAGACTTAATTTGATCTGTTACACCACATCATCCTTACATTGTGTGAACATTTCTCAGTTGCCTTGCAGTAGGAAACTTTCTGAAAGAGATTCCAAGCATTCTTTCCCCACAAACTTGAGAAACACTGGGAGAAACCTTTTCTTGTTTTTGGGTGCATGATGTTGACAACCACAATTTTCTTTGCTGCCTGAGACAGACCTTCTCTTACAGCTCCATTTTATAGTCTGTTGCTCATTAAGTGTCATACCAACAAACAAAGAAACTGGACCGACGGTATTTTCTTTCATGTTCTTAATTATATTCTTATGGTATAACGTGGTGGTGCTAACAGTGTAGAAAGTGAAGATTAGAAGCTATGATGCTGAGGCAATTTTTTGAGATGCTTATACAAAACCATTGGTCTAAACTGGATTTAAACTGCTTTGAACTATGGAGTTCAATTAGAGGCAAT